CAAAGTGGGTGTCATTTTTTGGAGACACCCACCTTCATGTTCATTCCAGGCTCCAGACTCCTCTTGATGCATAGACCTCTCTTACAGCTTCAAACAGTATCAAAGTGTCCACACTGAAAACAGGAGCATTGGGGATATAGGTTCATTGCCATCCTTTAATAAATCATTTAAGATGATAAGTTGACTTGGAGTGGTGTGAAGTTGCAGAGGAGGGAGGAGTAAGTATCATAAGACAGAAAAGTATATGTGCACTATGGGACTCAAACCCATGACCTATTTATCCCCAAACTCTAGAAGGGTGCTCTAACCACTGAGCTAAGTGTGCATGGTTGTTCAAGTGTTAAGTGGGGATCTATGCCTGTACAGTATTGATGGCCTGAAATGGCAGGTGCACTTACAACCTTTTGGTCTAAAGTCTGTTGTACAGAAAGCATAGAACATGTCATTATACCAACAGTAAGCAGTCACATTTATGGGGTGCTTTGGGGGGAGTGTAGACACTGATGAGTGTGAGGTGTTGGGTTCCCACCTTTGATTTCATGTCTAGCCTGACTGTCAAGATGCAGTTGGAACTAGTTTCTATCTGGAAGTAGGTTGAGGTTGGGATAGTTTTGCAAGAATATATGAGACTCTTGGCTGTTTTATCTACTAAGGGCATGGAGGGACCTCTATCCAGGTCAAGGGGTAAGCCAGTTCAAGAGGTAAGATAGGGGTCCAGTTAGGGTGGTTCATTGGGAGTTGGGATTGAGGGTAGAGGTATGGCTCCTGGGGGAGGAGGGGGTCATTCAGGAGGCTGTGGGTACCAAAGGCAGAGTGGTGAGTTTTTAGTTAGAGAATTTTTAGTGTTGATGTGCTGGGTGTATAGCTTTTGTGGTTGTGGCTAGACATGAGGGTAGTTTTTAGGGTGGCTGTTCATGCTGTTTGCATGTGCACATCAGATGGGGCATGATGAGGAGAAAGCTGAATGGTTACATGTTTTCCTGAGCTCTGCCAGGATCTGGGAGTGGTTGTAGTTGTCTGTATCAGGGAAGAGTTTTTCAAGGATTAGCTGAGGACAATTAGTACAGGTGAGTGGGTCATTTTGGCTTTTGCACTCTGTGATGGCATGGTTGCTGCCACAGTGGGTGCATGAGGTGTCATCAGGGCAGGACCTGGCTACATTCCTCAAGTCCAGACATTGGTGGCATTTGAGGATGCAGTGGTAAGAGCATTCTATCCTTAAGAGTTCTCCCTTGAATGAGACCTTGTTCTGGATTGCAAGGTTAGCCTCTGTTGGTTTTGTTAGTGTCAGCCCCTGAGTACTTCAAAAGTACCATGAAGCTGCAAATGTTAATATAATCATTTTCTTATCACACCTCATAGCTCAGTTTTGAGAGCTGTAATTAAGAATCCATTTTAACACTGAATTAAAAGTGTATATTACAGCATGATTACACATAGAGTAACCTGCTGTAAAACCATAAACTCAAAGTGTAATAACATACAAGATGTTATGTACTAATAATAACAAGATATAGTAAACTTTTCCCTTGTAATGAGTGTATG